CGCCTTACCTGTTTACCATTGTCGCAGCGAGTGCATGGCAAGCATATTTTGGACACCCCAAGTTCTCGGAATCAGATGCCAAGGATCTTGGGTTCTTTTGTTTGTTTGTCTGTGGACTGTCTCTAATGCGCTTGAGAGTCTAGGAGTCTAGGTGTTTAGATGTGCAATCATTGCGCCAGGGCCGTGGGTATAGAGGGTGCGAGGCTGAGTCCCCGCTTTGGGGTTCGATAGAGTCGTCAGAACCGTGCCCCCGACATGTGGCTTTGGGCTCGAAGGCACTGGTGCCCTCCAGCATGAAGGCTTAGGGGCACTGGTCGGCCTGTTTCAACAGGAACGGCAGCCATGGGGTGCCAGCACTCGGCGAGCAAGCGCGACGAGGAGCTGGCCACCATGAGCCATGACACCTACGTCACCCACCACAGCCAGCAAAGTCGCAACAGCCGCAACAGCTACTGCAGTGTCACCTCCCTGACGGGGCCACCGATGCTGTCGCCGAAGAGCGGTGCGCCTCTCCGGGGGAGAAGTTTCGAGTTAGGGATTTTGTGGAGTTCAAGGGTCTGTAACATCATTGAACCATGTACCGGAAAGACAAACTTCTGCGGTTATCATGATCATGCCTTCTATGTTTAGGACGACATGTTGCAGAGTGAAAGATGGCACCGGGAGTGATGCTGGACCTGAATGCATGAGTCGTTGCGACGACACATGGGGTGTCTTATGTTCGGACGTTTTCTCGGGGTCTCTTTGATAAGGAATGGAGAGTGTGCACTCTTGCTTCTAAACTCGCACATGGGAGGCGGAGCGCAACAGCAGCTTCTGGCAACCCCGACACCGCAGAAGAGCCCGCGCACGATGGCTCGCATGGCCGCCCACACTCGACATTAATGGAGGATGGGCCATGTTCACATTTTGTCCTCAACCGGAGTCCCTGCACCGAAGCACGGTCCCCACAACTCACCTCTTAGTTCGAGATGAGACAGGTTCTGTGAACTTCACATGCCTTAGAATCTATACCCTGCATCATGCCACCACATGTCCAGATCAACTTTTGAGCCACAAGCGAGCGTGGCAATGGTTCCATGGTTTTGTCCAAAGAGGCCCTTTTGTTTTCAATGTCGATGTTTGTGGAACTTACCATGCCGAATGATTTTGGAGTCTTGGGAATTTTGGCGACGAACCTCGCAGTGATGGAACCGCCCCCGACTCTCACGACGGAAGCCCCCACAGTCTAGAAGTCCGAAGCGCCTAGCCGTAAAGCATTCGGCCCTCGAGATCTCGACATGGGGCAAGCGGGTAAGCAAGGCTGGCGACAGAATTCTGCAAATCCATTGCGCTCCCAAGGTCACCTTATCCTCCGGCTGGTCGAGTCAGTCCCGGCCACAGCAGGCACCATGGCTTTCCCTCGGCTTTACTTCTCGGTAATGTAGCCCAGACAAGTCTTCTGATTTGGTGCAGCGGACGTTGAATCACGAACGGAGGCCGTCCTTCTGTAGCAGCGTAGCTCCGCTCATGGACCGATTCGCTACTCAGACGCCTCGTCCCGATTGTCATGATTGTCCCAGCTGTGAAACTCGAAGCCACAGTAGCCCCCTAGCGTCCAGTTTCGGAAGTCTGCTTGGTGAAATTGGCGATGCCTTCTCGTCCTCAATCCTGCCTGAGACCTGACCAGACAGCATGCTTCGCTTAGGTGCTCTAAAACCGGTTGTTGCCTGAACCGCACTTCCGTAGCTCTCAATTTTTCAAACGAAGCAAGGCCACCCAAGCTTGTAGAGGCTCGAGGCTCACCTTTTTGTAGGTTTTGGAGCTTGTCATTCAACCTCCCCGCCTGCTAGACGCCTTTGTCCTCTGCTATCTCCGGGGCAACTAGCCTTCGGCAGGCCTTGGGCGGGGGAGCGGGGCGGGCCCTCGTGGAGCACGTAGACAGAGGGCGATTTCAAGAGAGAGCAGCAGAATACAATTCTCTGCTTTGCCGGACAATTGTCAAGCCCTTGCCACTGGCTGCCGCGGCACGGCATGCCTTCCTCAACCTTGCTTTAGGTTGTAGAACTGTAGAACTCATGATTCTTGGACCTGTCGGCACAAGAAGAGTTGCTTCCAAGTGGCAGCTGCATGAGCAGGATCAAGACGTATAGTTTACTCGTCTCTGGGAGAAGTTGACCACAGCTGTGACAGCTGCAAAGCATCTGCCAGGGTTGCCTGCGATCGCACTTCCTCTCGGAGCCTTGGCACAGTCGGTTTGCGCTGGGCAGGTGCCCTAGCTCGGTCTCTGGAGGAGGCGGTACTATAGGGATCGGTGCCATAGCGAAAGGAAGACTACAACGACGGCATCGACATGAACACTGCGGACACTCAGTACAACCTCGAGGTGGGCGGATTCTGTCTGGCTGGGGGGGTGTTTGATTTCAAGAGGATTTGGAGAGTGAGGGGTGTGGAGTTTGGCGGATGTCAGGTCAGGAGTCTGCGCAATGAGGAGAGTTGTCGACACTCGCCGCGGCTAACTCCCGCAAGACTAACCGGACATCGTCGATAGTTGAACATTTCAAAAACCCTTGCATGCACAGCTTGTTGGACTGCCCAAGCGCAAGAAGAAGCGGTGCAGGTTCAAGCCCAGATTTCTTTGTACAAACATCTGCGAACAGGCCGGGGTTACGGCAAAGAGATGGGAGGGAAGGGGTGGGCTGTACGACTGTGCTGGCACTGCTCTATGGTCATGTAGCCGCTGCCTGTGGGATTTCAGAACGACTTTGCCTTTTGTCACGCAAGGAATCCTCGTTTGGCGGCGAGCCTTGGAGATAGCATCCTCGCGGTACAGAGCCGACGAAGTGGTGCTGCTGTGCATCCGGCAGCAGGGAGAAGTGCGAAGGGTCCTAGGTATGTGGGATGGGGCCCTGAACCCCGCCAGGCTCGGGCGACTAGAAAGCCCCGTCACATGCTTCTGAGTGGTGCTCAGGTCAGGCACGTCATGGTTAAGTCACCGAGCAAAGGTTTCACTACACGACGAAGGGCAATTTCTATGCCATCTGCAACGCTGCTTTTGTCACGCCTGAGCTCTGGTCGGCGCTGAAGGCCCCAGACGGCCCCTTGGTGTGAGAGCTGGGCACATCCGAACATGGTCCTGTGATGCCCACGGCGATAGCGGGCTGCATGCAGATTGGGGCTGCTTCTATGTGGAACCCATAGATTTGAATCGGCAACTGCTGTTTTGTGCTGTTGCCGGTGAAGATGTTGAGGCGGGGGTGTTGTGGATTTGCAAGTGAGGTGTGACGAATGATGGCAGCTTTCTCAGATAAGGTGGTGTGCACGCAATCGCGAAGGAGCCGGACCAGTTGGGAAAGAAGCAAATGGTGCAGGTGCCTAGGAAGGACAGCTTGTTGCGGCTGTTGACCTAAATTCGGCTTGTCATCGTCGATGAGCCCAACACCTCCGCCGAGAAGTGTGGGCAGCTCCAGCAATGCCCACAAAGTCCCCCCCCCCCACACACGATCAAAACAGACCTTCTTTGTGATCGCGATTTTCTTCCAAGAGAAAGGACAAACACACTGTTTCGATAGAATTGTGTCATGGAGTGCCCGACTCTCTTTGGCACGACTGTATGCGCTTCTTTGGCACATCGCCTTAGGTGTCACACTCCACCACTTAGATAGCAAACGGGAGAACTGAACTGTTTGGCTTTGATATTTGGTCTATCCGAGCCTATCGTTTAAGGTTTGAAGCTTTTTATGCCCGGTCATTGAAGAAGAGAGAGAAATAAACGCCATGCAGCGTCGTCAGCCCTGCGCTGCGATTGTCTGCTCTGACGGGTTTGTTTCACTTTGTTGAAGGAAAGCCCGGGCTCATTCTGCCACCCTCCTGCAAGCTGCAAACAATGCAAGATTCTCATTCACCTACTGTAAGACCCTGAGCAACAAGACTGAGGCAGTGGCATCGCTCAATTCAGCTGCAACCGGAAGCTCGGCCGTGCGAAGCACCGCCAGCAGCGGGACCCCGCCCCGCTGCAGCAAAGAACCACGGAACTGGCACTTCGAGTTTCTTCAGTCTACATGTGAATTTCAGTGCTTGCTGGTCTCGGCAGCTTTCCGACCTCTCTGGAATGGTGAGATTGTGTTGCTAGCTTTACGACGTTGGCCAAGCATATCTCCACACCAGCGATCTGAGAGCCAAGGGGAACTCGGGCACGGTATTGCGTTCCCATCCTGGTCCCGAAGGACCCGAGCGCATCTTTGGGCCTGCAGACTTGGCTTTTGTGTTTTTTTCTCCCCCACGCTGTTTTGCCGCGTTCTTTGCCGTGGCCTACAGCTGTCGCAGGACCTGGTCTCAGAGATCAGCCACACCGATAGCAGCATCTTGGCTGCACTGAGGTTGCTGAAGCCACCAAACCTGCAAAGCCTTGTGTCAAGCTCCCGTCAAACGGATGGTGTGGTTCGGACTTCTGCGGTCAGAACTCATGCTTGGTTCCCTGTTGCGAGCCCACATCCGAGACCAAGTGCATCAGGGGTATGTGCATAGAAGCCTTTTGCGCAGTCTCAAGGCACGCACAACTCATCACTCAGATGCTTCGATGTGTTACCTTGGAAGTCGACAGTCTCACTCATCCAAGCAGCTTCCTCGGCCTGACACCAGGTACGGCTATAAGCCCTGCGGGCGCTGCCTTACCACAGCGGTGGTCGACGCCTGGCCTGCTTCGGTTCTTGGGACGTTTCCGTGTCATTCGTGGGTCCGTTGTCTTGGCCTGTCCGCGGCCCTCTTTCTCCGAGTTTTCTCCGAGCGAGCCACCTAGGACTCTTAGGACCTATGTGATCTGGAATGTGTAGATTGTTGCCCTGTGAATGTGCACTTTAGATTGTCCGTTGCCTCGAGGATTGTCTGCCCAGACGAAGTTGCGCGCCTGGCTCTGCAAACTTCGTGGGGGATTAGAAGCCCTTGCCCTCGAGCCCCAGCTTGTGCATCAAACATCGGCCCAATGCCTAGGGATGTTGGGCATCGACGGCCTAGTGCAGGTGCCTCCAGCTCGCCGCGGCCAAAAGCGAGCAGCGGCTGCGGCTCATCCTCGAGGAGAGTGGCCCTGCAGGGGTACTCGTTAGGTTTTCGGCTTTGAGCTTGAGACCTGATCCCAGCCATGTACCGCCTGCATTCCTGCCAGGCACGGCAGAGCGCGCTTGGCAACGACCATCCAGAGACCCTGGTGGCGAACAATGTTCCGTGGCTGCGAGAAGCACAGGCATCCAAGTAACTTCCCAAGCTCCAACAGCAAAAATTTGGCCTAACTCATCCGCTAGGGGAAGGTTAGCCCAAAACCCGACGAGTCCAGGACCTGGCAGCGCTGATCGTGGCGCAGGCCCTAGGAACTCTTCACGTGCGACTTGAGCTCGCTGTCTTGCCCCACCCCCCTGTCGTTGTTCCTGAATGACACACCCCCTATGACCCCCTGCAGGGTTGCGGGGGGTGGTTGCAACAACCCCCTCCACCCCTCCCTATCGAAGGGGTCTCCAAGTTGGTCGGTTTCCCGGCGCTTGCGGGCAAATTTCATTCGCGTTAGAAATTGCATGTGGTGAGCGAGGAGATTGGGTGAAGCTGTCGTTTTGAGGGTGCACACGAACTCGGTGGCCTTCTGGTTCTTCTGGTTCATTACTTTAACCCTCAGTTAGTCGATGCGTTTCCCAGAAACCTTTTTCGCTCGACCAGGGGCGATTGCAAGAGGCAGAGCCCTTGTACCGAAACTGCCTGCAGGCCGCCGTGGGATTGTGATGATTTTGAGAAGCTTTTTCCGAGGGGTGCCCACCAGAAGGCTCTGCACCACGACCTTGCAGGATACCCCAGCTTACAGGGTCCAAACCTGTGGCCCCTCGATGAGTGTAGCAGACGTGAGCTGAGAACTCTCAACCGCAGGCAGTGTCTGAATAGGTCTGAGGCTCCGCAAGACACCGAAAGCTGTCACTCCGGCTTAGTGCCTGACACTGAGCTTAGCCGCCGCAGGCGCTGGAGAATCGGGTTGGCCTGAAGCTTGGATTCTGAGGGCCACATCTCTAGGCTTCATGCACCAAGGTCTCGGATGGTAAGAGAGCGGTCGCACGTCAGCTCGCATCGATAAAGAATTCTCGCTTGTGGCGTTCAGAGAACCTGAAGGTCATAACCATCCGGACGCCTTGCGCACAGCCTGCAACCTCGCTCCATGGTTGCAAAGTGATTTCTTCTTCTTCTGCTTATTCTTTTTGTTATTGCTCTTATAGGATTAGTCTTAATATGGCTGTTGTGCTATTGTAATTACTAGTGTGAGTGTTAGTCTCGTTATTCTTATTATTATCAATGTCGTTTTCGTACTATTGTGATGATTATTCTTCTTTCCCCTTCTACTTCTTATTGTTGTGAAGATTCTTATTGTTATTGCACTGTGCTTTTCTTGTTGGGAAGCCTTCTGAGTTTCACGTGCGATCGCAGCTTGTTTTGGACTGTTTTTTCACTGCGAGTATGTCGTGAGATCTTGTATCTGGCATGTCACCTGTCATGTAGTTTCGGATGATCTCGTGCTGCCATGCGGGAGCCAGAAAATCATTATTATTGACTGTCAGTGTTATTGTTACATGTATAATTATTATTAACATTCTTGGTATTATTGACTGTTATTGCAAAAATGTGAATGATGATGATTATTACCAAAGTTCTTGCTAACATGATAATTGCTGTTTTTAGCATTATTATTATTGTTCGCATCGTTATTGTCATTCTTATTGCTATTGTTATTGTTGTTATTTGTAGAATTGGGTTACTTGTATTTTTTGATTGTTTGTGTTAACTTGTAGCATTTGCATTTTTTCGTATTATTTGTATTTTTCAGTACTGTTATGAAATCATTCATTTTTGGTATTATTATTATTGTTATTTTTGTTTTATGCTTAATACTATCATGACATCATTAGTGTCATTAGTATTATTTGTCTTATTGGTATTGTTCGTGTTATTGTTATTATTATCATCGTTATTAGTATGATTACATTTCCATCGCCGTCAGAGAGAGTCAAGCCAAGGCTGCCATCGATGCAGCGCTGGGAGACTTTGCGGAAGCCGAGCAGCTTGGACGAAGCATGACGAAGTGGCGCAGTTGCTGTGCCATTCCCCCCCGACCCCCTCCTAATTCTTGCTTCTTGCTGCCATCGAATCCGTCCGTAGCCATGTGGTGAAATCAGGCGGCTCTACCGCAACGCAGCGACGGGCCTGGACATCGAACTGGGCTCATGGCATCTGGATACCTTGATTCACGGCTAAATTTTCGGTTCAGTTGGCGAAATCGAAGCAGTCATGCTGATAGCATGCCCTAGAGATCCCTGAAGCTGACCGGAATGACTTGGAGAGTAAGTTCATCCGCCTGAGGAGCTGTCTACACCGGCTGGCTCTTGTCCTCAAGCAGCGAGGGCAGGCCCAGGAGGCCTTGCAGACTCTCTCAGGTGTGCTTTCGTCGTGTGAAAGCTTGAGTTCCAAAGATTGCTCCCTGGTTGATTGTCTGTGATATGTTGTTCGTTGCTCCGACTCAGACGACGATTGTGAGGTAACGAGAATGCATCTTGTGGATTGTCAGACCTCAACTTCAGCTTCGGTGCCAGAAGTATCACGAGAGGACAGAACCACGCTGCTCCTGACTGCCAAACCATCTCATGCCCGCAACCGTAATGACGCCTGTGTCTCAGTGAGTTGGACTACCTCCACCAAGTCTTGTGTTGTGGTCATTCTAGTGATTCTGCGGTCCTAGATTGACTGCAGTGCATCCGACTCCCGGTTGATCGACAAGGGTGTTTGTGTGTGTACACATATGTCGTTCATGGGCGAAGAGCATGACCTTCTCCTGCTTTGATGAGTTTTGTGAGGCCAAGTGGTTAGCGAACACGGTGCAATTGCATGCTTGCATGCGCGTCGGCAGCCTACCGTGTGCAACGAAGCTACGGCTGTGAATTTGATATCCTCCTACCCAGATCAGGCGGTGGTCCCCCATTGCACCAAGATAAGCAGTCTTTTCCACATGCACCGGTGCACCAGTCCGACCACCAGCTGACAATATGTTCCGGCAAATGCGAGCAAGCATGCGTGGATAAGCCTCCAATCAGCTCGCAAAAGTGTGTGACTGTGCGCGTGTGTGTGTGTGTGTGTTCATGTGTGCTGATTGTTCGGCATACTCTGTCTCGCAAACTTGTTGGAGTCTGAGGGCGTCTGTGCTTTTGAGCATGCTCGCTGTTTGTTGTTTGGTGCTCTTCTACAAAGCAAAGCAACCTCGACCCTGCTTGGGTCTGCAGGTTCTGTTCGTGGGTGGAGTTGGGATTGTAAGACTCTACGAAAGAGTAGAACACCGAAGTCAAGTGAGATACGAGCTGACATGCTTGCCCGTCTTCCTCCTTTTCTTCAAGCCTCAAGCGTTGACTTGAGTTCATGACAGAGATCCCGAAACCGCTCTCAGCCGCAGACTCCCCCAAGAATCCACAGCCTGGGCAGGCGGAGCAAATTCTACAGCGTGTGGTCAGAGGCCTCTTGACATCTCTACGAGTGTCGCGAGCAAAAAAGCCCAAAGGAATGCTTCGTGACCCTAGGATGGCCCAGGTCTGAGTAAGCTCCTCTGAGGCATCACCGGCGAGCTTGGTCCACAGCATCCGGAGACGCTAAGCGCCGTGGCATCGCCCCTTGGATGTTTAGAGGCCGAGGTTGTTTGCAGAGTGTGGCTCAGGAGGGGCTCTTCTTAGTTGTGCCTGGGAACTTTTCCTGACGTGTATCCGGACGTGAATCATCCGGTTATTTGCGTGCACGAGCGGAGTAATTTGAATGTCCGTGAACGTGTTGCAATGCTTGGCCGTGGAGGTTTGCAGAGGTAGAGCCTGCACCTTGGGCGCATGCTTTGTCGTAGATCATGGACAAAGCCTGGCGAGGAAGGAACAAGAAATGCGTTTGAACGGATGGACGTGTCAGCATCATTTGGCGATTCTTCTTGTTCGACACATCGAGAAATCTAGCCATGTCATTATCGAGAAAACCTCTTGTCGATCATTGCATATAGGCCGATCAGAAACTGTTGGCAGTCCCAACTCCCTGGCCAGAAATGCAACATTCCCTAATGAAGCACCTGTCCCGGTTTCAAAGCTTCGAAATTAAGTATTTCTTTTGATAAGAATGTAGCAGAACTGTTGTTGGTGTAGGTTTGTTTGCTTCGGTTTCAGTGCTCACCAGTGGGAATCCTCTGAAAAAACGGAAATGCAGACTTTACCATACTGCAAAGTGCCTGCCCTGTGCGAGTTTTTACACATCGATCACCGACCGGTATTTGCGATGGAAATGTTTGCACTAAGGCTGGCTGCTGTCATGGAGGTCTTGGGAAAGGCACAGGCCGGCTTGCAGACGATGTTTCTCTGTAGTTTGGAAACTCCAATCACGTCAGAGTCTCAGCACAAGGTGTCGCAAACTTGCAGTGGATGGGGGGCACAGAAATGTGTTTCAAGACCACCTCAAAGGCGAACAATGCATGGCAGACAGGAATATCGAGTATTTTGGATCCGATGAGAAAGCGTCTGAACACATCCAGACCCGGCCTTCACAGATTATATGCCTAGAGCTGAAGTCTCAGGCTCAACAGGCCGCTGAATGTCGTGGCTTTGGCTCCAGGTGCATACATCTCCCAAGCTTTCGGCAGATACTTGGTTCCCATGAGCACCATGGCAGCATCAGGTGAGATGGCGGCCCTATGGAAGAAGGCCCTTATGGAGCGCGATGTGACCGTGGTGAACACCTTCCTTCAGATTTCGGAGGCCTGCCCACGCCAGCGCCGGCGATCGCGGACTGTGCCTGCGACAGCAGAGGATGCGTTCGAGGAGTTCCCCGAAATCGCAGAACCAGTCTGTGGAGGTTCCGAGAGTGGTTTCCTGTCAGACGGCTTCGCCCGGCAAAAGTCGGAGAAAGAGGTGATTGAAGGGCCTTGGCTTCCCTCGAAGGCTGCTTCGACTTCCACGCCGCGCCTGTTGCACGGCGCGAC